CACTAAATTCAATCAAACTTTTGGGTTATCAAATAGAAAATCAGACCTTAAAACCTGATCCTGAAAGACTTGAACCATTAAAGAAGTTACCCTTACCAAACGATTCACAATCACTAAAGAGAGCTGTCGGAATGTTTGCACATTATTCCAAATTTATCCCACAATTTTCAGAAAAGATACAAAAACTAGTCACATGCAATACTTTTCCTTTAACAGAACAAGCAGCTGAAGCTTTCCAAATTCTTAAATCTGAAATTATTTCTTCAGCTGTTACTACAATTGATGACAAGATTCCTTTTATCGTTGAATCTGATGCTTCAGATTTTTGTATTGCTGCTTCTCTTAGCCAAGGAGGAAGACCTGTTGCTTTCTTTTCAAGAACCTTATCAAAAAGTGAAAGAAATCATTCATCAGTGGAAAAAGAGGCTTATGCAATAGTGGAAGCTCTTAGAAAATGGAGACATTTCTTGATAGGTAAACATTTTCGACTTATAACTGATCAAAAGTCTGTCTCTTTTATGTTCAATATGCGCCACACTAGTAAGATAAAAAATGAGAAGATTATCAGATGGCGCCTTGAATTATCATGCTATAGTTTCGATATTCAGTACCGACCAGGAGTTGAGAATGTAGTGCCAGATACTTTCTCACGAGTGAGCTGTTCAATAAATCCTCGACCAAGTCTATTTGAACTACATCAATCCTTGTGTCATCCAGGAATCACCAGAATGGTCCATTGGATAAAGACACGCAACTTACCATATACTATTGATGAAGTCCGTGAAATGACCAATCGCTGTCCTATCTGTGCAGAAATAAAACCAAAGTTTTTGAAAACTCAAGGGAGATTAATTAAAGCTACTTCGCCTTTTGAAAGATTGTCTCTGGATTTTAAAGGACCGCTTCCATCTAGATCTCATAACAAATATATCCTAACAATTGTTGATGAATATTCTCGATTCCCCTTTGTATATCCATGTCAAGATGTTTCAGCGAAAACTGTTGTGAAGTGTCTTACAAACTTATTCTCTTTATTTGGAATGCCTAGTTATATCCATTCAGACCAAGGGGGGGCATTTATGTCTCAAGAAGTCAAAACATTTCTCCATTCACAAGGAATACCAACAAGCCGAACAACATCTTACAATCCTGAAGGAAATGGCCAGACAGAAAGATATAATGGAATTATATGGAAAACTATTTCTCTTGCATTAAAATCTAAACATTTAAAAACTGAACAGTGGGAAGAAGTAGTTGAGATAGCTCTTCATTCAATTCGTTCTCTTTTGTGTACATCTACAAACAGTACCCCTCATGAGCGAATGTTTCATCATTCCAGAAAAGCTATAAATGGAGCTGCACTTCCTTCATGGTTGATAACCCCCGGAAAAGTATTTATGAAAAAAAATGTGAGGCAGTCCAAATATGAACCCCTCGTTGAAGAAGTACAGCTAATTGAAGCAAATCCAAACTATGCTGTTGTTAGACGTGAAGATGGTAAAGAAACAACAGTAGCCTTAAGACAACTTGCACCACGAGGAGATGCATCTCTGGACTGTGTTAGTGGATCGGAATCTGCGGTTTCTAATGAACAGTTTATCAAAGATCCACCAAGCCCTAGATTGAGTATATGTGAGGAAAATCCAAATATTTCTCCTGTTAACATTCTGGAAGATCAAGGTCATATTGAAAGTGTTTTAGAGGAAGAAAATAAACACAGTCTTATTAGAAGAGGTACCAGGGAAAGAAACACTCCTGCTTACCTTAAAGACTTTGTTCAAAAATAAAGTTGGGGTGAATGTCCTGTGGTCTGTGAACTGTGTTTGTCATTTGTCATCTTAGTTTTAGTTAATGTCATATGTAATTGTCATGTTATTCATTCAAACAAAACAATGCTAATTTCTTGTATATTAAAACCTAGTTTATAAAGGTTTTGCATTTCATTACAACTAATGCTTCTTTTATTGTTCACAGTTCTAAGCTATCAAAAGCTTTTTCATAATCTATAAAAGCTAGACATAATGGGAGATTAAATTCGTTAGTCTTTTCTATTAGGATTTTCAAAGTATAAAGAAGGTACTGTACCCTTTTCTAAATCCGGCTTGTTCTATTGGTTGATATCCGTCAAATTTAATTGTTAACCTGTTTGTAATAATCTTCGTAAAGGTTTTGTAAAGTTGTGAAAGAAGTGAAATTGGTCGACAATTTTTCAGGTGTGTGGTGTCTCCCTTTTTGTTTTATTAGTATTGTTTGTATTGTTTGTATTGTTGTATTAGTATTGTTTTAGCAGTATTCCATTGTCCGGGTATGTTGCCTTCGAATAGACATTTATTAAATAGTATTTTTAAATATGTGATGGTTTCTTCTCCTCCTTCCTTCAGCATTTCTGCTAGGATTCCATCGCTTCCAGGAGCTTTATTCCTTTTTTTAATCACTTTTAATATCGCATATTTATCACTTCCCAATATATGGCCCAACTAGGAACATTTTCGTTGTTTTATAGTTTGTAATAGTTCACATTCGGTCCCATTCTTCTTAACACTTCTCTATTTGACACATGATCAACACATGAGATACACAATAGTTTACGCAATCTCCACATTTCGAATTCTACTACACTATTTATTTTTTAATTGTGCTATTATGGGTCATATAGCATTTTACCATGCGGAGTCTAAGCTCATCTGTCATAAGTATTTTTAGAAGTTAGCCATCGCTAATCTTGCCATGATTATTAGACACCAAACCTTTTTTATTAGATTCTATATATTTTTTTAAGTTCAAATATATCTTTTTTATTTTCCCAAGTGGTCCGGAAATTGTTATTAACAAATAACTTATAACAACAAAACAATTTACCGAGTCGCTTCGAGTAAAATGTTTTTAGACTTATCCCATCGAAGTTTTTTTTTCTAAAAAACTACTAAATGAATTACCATTTCTACAAAAGCTTTATAATCTTTAAACCTTCACGTATAAATAAAAATATTTTCACAAGTGGTTTCTATCTTGCTAAAAACATAGTTTTAAATTTAAACAAAGATTTCAAAGCCGCGCGCCTGTACCGAAGTAACAGTATCTTATACACTTCGTATAGGTAGGTACAGCGATAGATTGCTCGAAAAGCATATTCGAAATATTTGGTTCCATATTTTTAGCTTTAGCAAAATAGAATCTATCTATACTTGTCAAAATATTTTAAGTTGTACCTGCTTACACGTACTTAAAGCTATTTATAGAATTGCAATTCATTTAGAATTTTTACAAAAAAAATACCAAAAATCATTAATGAAGCCATTGTTTGAATAAAAAATTGCTAATATCTCGACAAAGGGGTATTTTTCGTTAATTACCAGGCAAAAAAGTATTTTATTTTGATGAAGTAAGTACGCCTAAAAAATTTTACTCGAAGCTGTTCGGGAAATTCTTTTTTTGTCATAAATTTGTTAATAGGAATTTCAGGCCAACTAGGAAAAAATAAAAAAAATATATTTGATCTTGAAAAAATATAAAAACAAATAAAAAAGGTTTGGTGCGGTAGAAATATAAAACAAATCGCAAATCGCTCTGCGATAAAGCTTGTCGCCATCGAGCAAAAAGACAAAAGAGGGAATGTAAAGGTAGTGGGGGCAAACATATTATTAGACAGGAAGTGCGATCTTTAGAGGCCACATTAAACAAGGAAAGAGAGTCTCTCTCCTTGTTTGACATCAAATTTAGTTGGGTTATGTTATTGTTTGTCCCAAATGTCACATGAAATCTTATTTATATTGAAGTTTTTTAACAATTGTGTCGCATTTTAGACTCTTATAATTAATAATTAATTAAAACTTTCTCGTCTAAGACACATTCTGAAAAATATTATATAGCTACTGTTGATAAGTGTCGAAAAATTTAAATTTGGCGCATTCGCATTTCGGATATGTCCGCCATCAGAGGCCACTTTTTTGGTCTCCTTTTCATAAGCATTAGATTCCCTCTTTTGTCTTATTGCTCGATGCTTGTCGCTCACTGCTTTATCTATGTCGGTTTATGCTCTGCTTATAGGGCCAAACCACTTGCCTACAGGTAGGAGTAGGAGTGGCAAACTTTTTGCATCTTTTTTGGTGCCAGCCATGTGCCAGCATTGACATTATCGGGAACATTCAGCGTGTTCTCGTTTTTAGTGATCATTTCCTGGAAACTGGACTATATAGGCCCATAACAATAATAATTGCTTTATTATTCTGTGATATGTGCCTCTCCACGTTAAAGGTCGATTCAGACACATCAGTCACGTCTCGTCACAGTCCTGGCGCCGAACCGAACAATCCGTCAGTTGACGAAGTTTCCCATCTATCTGTCAGATAATTAATAGTTCTGTGACCTAACAGGACCGGTTCGGCGGCGAGACTGTGACTGTACTGGATGTGTCTGAATCATCGAGCAAAAAGATGCTCTTTTTGCTCGATGGTCTGAATCGACCTTTAGAGTTTCCACCTTTCTAAGGTTCACTTGTCTAGTATTTATCACATAGATGGCGATACCAATCAGACTAAAAATACTGTCTAAGAATATAATTTGTTATAATAGTAATAATTATCAACGCATATTTAGGTTTTAAAATATAAAATATAATTTTTATATTATTTAGATAGAATGTTTAAAACCAGAATGCAAATAGATTAATGCTGCAGAAATCCGCAATACATCAATTATTTTTTTCTATTGACGCGGTTGTCAATGTCAAAATGACATTTGTATAAAAAATTCACAAATTTTTTCTTCTTGAAATAGGTTTAATTTATTAACTTAATTAATAATGGTTTTAATCGGCAAATTCTAATCCATAATCAAAACAATGAGAATACTACGTTTGCAAATAAGTTACCTAATTCACCTGGCGATATTAATTATAGGTTGATACATTATATATGTGATAAACACTTTGGGACACACTGAAAAGCAACTTAAGGACTAGATGCCGCCCTGGCGGCACACCAGCCAGGACTGTGTCCAGAATGCTCAGCCTTGATCAAGAAATTGGAGCGTGGGATTCCGTTTTGCTTGAACCCTTAACTGAAGACTCCTTTGTAACAAATCTACAACAACGTTTTAAGAGAGACCATATCTATACTTACATAGGAAATGTTTTGGTCTCGGTTAACCCCTATAAAAAGCTTGCCTTGTACTCAGCAGATCTTGTGGAGGCCTATGTTAAAAGAGGACCATTCCAGTTGCCACCACATATGTAAGTTCTAAAACAATTGTCTATCGAAATAACAGGATACGTTTGCTAAACAACTAATCTATAGTGACATCTAAAACTATATCCAGTATAGGATTAAAATGAATTCAATAAACACAAAGTGTTGTGGGTTTAAAAGAAAAACTGTCTGTTTTTGTTTTATCTTCATTTATTTATTATTATACACAATAATTTTGTGGTTATCAGATATTTTGATAATCTCCTGATGTGAAATATATTGTTTTAGATATGCCATCGCTGGGACTGCATACAGATGGCTCAATGATAGAAATGAAGACCAATGTATAATTGTAACAGGTCAGTTTAACTCTTATAATAATGTATCCATAACTTACTCTAGCATTGTAAACAATTTATCAAACTGTCTATAATGTCTCAGTACTTTTTCAATGCAAAAACTAGATACTATAAAAGATTCCAATTAGAACTGCACACTAATTAGAGAATTTGCTACATGAATAACAATTAATGGCTAAAATAACTAAAACTTAGATAGATTCCATGAGGTGGGTTTTGGCCTATTCCACTGTGACCTTTTTAGATCCATTGTGGTCATCTAGCTCTAGATTCTAGATCTAACAACTTTGAGATTGAACCTTCCTTATAGCTCTTTTCCAGTGGCTTTTTTAGCCTAATGCAAACAACCCCAGTTTTGCCAGGCCGTCACACTGACATAAAATGTGCTCTGCTGTTTCTTCTTCTAGCTGACAGAATCTGTGTAGCTCATCATCTGTCAATTCCATCAGCTTCAACTGCCTATTCAGCTTACAATGCCCTATTAGCGGACCTACTATGGATTTGACTCTTTTCCCGTCTTTGCTTATTAGGTCTGTTGTAAATTTTGTCAAATGTTCTGTAGTGAACTTTTTTTCCTCTCTTTGCGCTGTTGAATTCTTCAACCATTCCAGAGATTTGTGAGCTACCCACTTTCTTGTAGCCCTTCTTATTACTGCCTTTGCAATGCTGTAAAATGCATAGAAGGCATTGATGTGCCTTATTTGGCCATTTCATCTGCTTTTTCAACAGAATTGCAATATAGTTTTAGTGTGATCCTTATTCCTAAAAATAATTTATGATAATTTCTAAACATAAAACTATATCAAATGTTCAAACAATCCACCATTTGTACTAAAGTACAAAGTACAGTAAATAAAGAACTGACACTTTGTGCACTATTGCCGGAATAAAACATTTTTATTATTGCTACTTTCTCCCTAACTGAGCTCTTTTTGTAATCAACTTTATTGTTTTTTAAACAATAAATCACAAAAGAAAAATGTTAGCAAAAAATTTATTTAAAATCCTTTGTAAAAGGTATATAATAAAATGCCCAAACGGGCTATCACAAAAATATTGCAAAACGTTTTCAGATTGTTAAATCCATCATCAGTGCAAACGAGGTATACATGCTATGAGCCACCAAAATATATGGGTCAAAACCCTTTAAATGATATAAATTTACATTTGCTTTACATTATATGTGGTTACAAATTATGATGTTTAAGTTACCATTGGAATTGGTAACATGGCGATGTATGACCCTACATAGGTAAAATGGTCCTGAGACGAAGTGTCTTCGAGGACCTGTTGATAACAACTTAGTTTGGGCATTTTATTATATACCTTTTATAAAGGATTTTAAATAAATTTTTTGTGATATATGGTATACAGGAACTTAGTTTCATAATGAATTTTTATATTTGACAGTATGGTCAACTTGGCTCTACAATACATGCGCTTAGCCACTAAAAGATGTACGTTGAAGCTGGATATTTGGTTCATATCCCAGTGTATTAACAACCAGGTCTTCCCTACTTTTTGTAGAATCAAAACTCCAGGAAATGTTCCAGTTAACTTAAAGAACACTTTTCAGCTTAAAATATTAAAAAAGGAGATCTGTAAACATTATAGTAAGAGTTGTTATCAACAGGTCCTCGAAGACACTTCGTCTCAGGACCATTTTACCTATGTAGGGTCATATGTCGCCATGTTACCAATTCCAACGGTAACTTAAACATCATAATTTGTAACCACATATAATGTAAAGCAAATGTAAATGTATATCATTTAAAGGGTTTTGACCCATATATTTTGGTGGCTCATAGCATGTATACCTCGTTTGCACTGATGATGGATTTAACAATCCGAAAACATTTTGCAATATTTTTGTGATAGCCCGTTTGGGCATTTTATTATATACCTTTTATAAAGGATTTTAAATAAGTTTTTTGTGATATGGTATACAGCCAGCTACAGGAACTTAGTTTCCTAGTGGATTTTTAAAAATGTTAGCAATTCAAATATTGTCAAATATCACCAACATCAATATGACCACATGTAACATGTCATACACATTTTTGCACAGCATGTGCCCTATCTTTTAGGAAAAATGTATTATATTTTTGCAAAATTTTGGAATATGTTTAATTCCTAGAACAATTTGTTTTCCACACATATTTCAGTGCTCGATCCCATGTCTTTTGGTGTACAGTGGTTAGAGAAGCAGGAATTCAATAATTTAGAATTTCCCATTGAGTTTCCTATATCCCGTTTTACAATTCACCACCCTGTATATAACCATAAGGTCATTTTGGGGTTGAGCCCCCAACTCTTACCTCACATTCTACTACATCTACCTAAGTACATGGTAGATTTCTGTGTGGTTTTCAGTATATGAGTATTCCATGTAAGCCTATGATAAAAAACCCCTAGGTATTTTGTTTCTTTGGCAAATGAAATCTGTTACTCTCAACACCTGTGGTTTTAAACCTTATAATGCTGTCTTTTTGAGCATTGATTATCAGTCTTTCTTGTTTACGCCATATATCAAATATAATTATTTAGAGCTGTTTGCATTGTTCCAGACACCACCTTGTCAAATTTGCTCCTGATAACAAGTGCAATATTGTCAGCATATCTAGACAGTAAAAGTCTTTTGTGGACAGATTTTTGAGAAGATCATCTACCAAAATTGCCCAAAGTAGAGGTGGCAGAACTCGTCCTTGTAGGTAGCCTCCACCTTTGATGGTTGCTGGATATTACTATTCTATTCTCCAAGAATGTTCTTATCCATCTGATTATTACTGCAGGTGTGCCCCATCTAATCATAACCTTTATTAAAGAGTTCGTGATAACATTAAATGCCCCTTTTATACCTAAAAAGCAGCCATCAGTATCTCTTTTCCTCAATTGACTTTGAGATAAGCCTATTTAGATCATCCAACCTTGAGTTCGTAGATTTAACAGCTTGGTATGCATATTGACAATAAGACTAAAACTTGTAACAAAAAATGTTTATAAAACAAGTTACCTAGTTCTGGAGTGATAATGGCCACACATGAATGAACTTTAAATGATGAATTCGTTTTATAACATAAAAATTAACTGAAGAGAGAAGCAAAAATAAAGTTTTGTTAGTTAGCTGAATGTTAACTAGACTTACAATATATTTTTTCTAGTTTATACAATCTTCTGTAATTATAAAAAATTATAAACAAGTTTATACAAACTTGTTTATAAGTCTTTTAACGAGCTCTACATTAATTCTTTTAGGTGAGAGTGGATCTGGAAAAACAGAAGCTGCTAGAATAGTACTACAATTTCTAGTCCTAGTTTCTGGAGATAGCCAAGAAACAAAGCTCGTTAAAGATCGTTTAGTTCAAGCAAATACACTGTTAGAAGCATTTGGAAATGCTAGAACTATGAAGAATGATAATGCCTCTAGATTTGTAAGTATTTCCTACCATTGTAGTAGAAATATTATATAGAATAATATAATTAAATCTAATTGTTTAATTTGGTTTTCTAGGGAAAGTTCTTAGATATTGAGTTTGATTTTAAGGGAGATCCTATAGGAGGGCATCTTACACATTGTAAGTATAATTATTGGTTTTTCTAGATATTAATAAGTGTCTATGTGTCTGCTCTTAATTACTTTCTTAATATTAACTATTGCAGATGTCTGGTACATTTTTTAAAACTATACTTTTATTTGGGTGTAGTTTTACATTCAACTAATAGGAATAGATCAGAATAATAAAATTTAAAAAATAAAAGAAGGATATAGTAGAAAGAAAATAGTAGTTTTACATAATACAGAATTTTTTTTTTCGAAAGGTCTTAAGAGGGACTTCTTGTAATTTTTTAAAAGAAATAAATAATATTTATTATAAATTAATAATAAAAAAATGTATTCAATAAGATGACAAAATTACGATGCTGTAGCCATTCTTGTGATGTATGTTTACTTTAACACAGCCAGCATATCTCAATATACTGACACAAATTTTAAACTATAGAGAAAATAAAAAAATCTTTTATACTATATGAGTATAGCTAGAAAAATACATAGGGAATTTGGATAATATTAATTCTTATGTAACTAGGATATGATATTTGAAATATACTGTTCAATTTTTGAGAAAAAGACAATCATTTGTTAATAAGTAATGTTAAAATCAACTTAAAATACTGTTAAAATACAAGTTGTTTTAAAAATCATAGTACAAGGAAAACATCTTGAAATTTTCACATATTTTATAGACTGTCCCTATAGTAACATACTTACATTTCAAAATGCTGGAACAGAACTCCAACTCCCTCTAATAATCTTCTAACTTCTAATAACATGATATTAGTGTATCAGGTTAGGTTAGGTTAGGTTCAATATGAGTGGGCGGTTAACCAACCTTCCACCCGACCTAAGAGTCTATTGTGGCTCATCCCTAGGTTAAGGTTGTCCCTTCAGTCCAGCCTTTTTAACAAAGTCTGACTTTAGGTGAAACTTCTACAAAGTTGTATAGAGCTGAAGTTGATATTGCTCAAATGTATTGAGTCTTATCTGATCCAACCCTGAGCAGTTACACAGAACATGTTCCGCCGTCTCGTCATCAGTCTGGCAGAATCTATAATTTGCACTCTCTGTCAATGTGCCCCTTGAGGAGACACTGTCCTGTTTAGAGAACTATGATAATTCGCACGTCATTCCTATTCATGACTAGTAGATATTTGGATCTCCTCTTTGAAGTATTATGTATAAACGCTTTTGAATGTTTAAGACATATGAGGAGCTTGCGTTCAAAAGTGGCTATATACATTTTTTCCAAATTATGCTCTTTTTGTGATTTTCGGCTAAGTTTTACAAGATCTATCAACGGGCACGTTCATTAGCGTTTAAAACGAGCTATTTATATTTTAAAATCGCATATAAAGTCGGCATTTTGCATCAAAAGTGGCTATATCCAATAATTCGTTATATTCAGAATTACGGCAAAATAGTGGTGCATCTGATAATACTGTAACGATACACTTAGCGAACTCGCGACCGCCTCGCGTTGACCGTTAACTAAAGAGTGGTAGGGGTTGAAGGGGTTCGTTGAATGACGATCAGTTATTCGCCAACTCTTGTGGGAGTAGTGCTGGTTTCCTTCCGGAAATATTGACGATTGACGGCGATCCACGTGCAATATGGATGAAGAAATGATCATCGTAGAGCAGGGAAATAAAGGTTCTAGACGCCGCATAAAAAAAGTGAGAAAACGCCAGGCTAAACAGTCATCAAGGTATGTAATAAATTAAATTATATTATACGATTTAGTTACTGGTTAAATTGCTTTTATGTAAATAATAATTTTATTTTTACACATTCGTTTTTCGATTGCTTGCTTTTAAGGGGTTTGGGTGGGTGGTCCCACTGGCTATGTTAGTGTCGTTTGATATAAATATAATCTTTTTTACGCTAGTTTCTTTGCATTTTACAGGTATGGTGATCCCGATCCAACACTTTGCAACGCCTTTCGATTCGAAAGGCGTTGCCAACATAATGAGAAATCATTTCAGTGTGCTACAGTTAGAAAACGGCACACCCAAATCCTAAGGCAGAAATTTTATGCAGATTCGATCAAAACTAACCAAGACGTTAGACTGTGCCACATGTTATCCGTCGCTCCTATTGCTCGTCATAGATCGGCTCACGTGAATGCCGTTTCCTTGAAAAATCTTAGTGTCTCGTATTTTATTAAGCGCGACAACAAAGCAACGCGGATGTGTCAAAAGTTTTTTCTTGCTGTACTGAGTATCTCCAAAAAGAGTTAATACTGTTGCGAAAGTCCTCCTTGCAGGTGGTGTTCCGATGGAAAATAGGGGCGGTGATCATAAATCCAAAAAAATGAAGATAAAAAAGAATGCGTTCAACATTTTCTCAAGAGACTAAAAGGATGCGACAGTCATTATAATAGGAAAAAGTCAAAGAGAATATACTTATCTGCAAGTCTGTCAGTTGCCAAGTTATAGAGAATGTTTAATAAGGAATACCCACAAAATCGGGTGTCATATTTTATGTTCCGAAAGGTTTTTATACTTGATTTTAACATTGGGTTTTCATCGCCCGCTTCGGATGTGTGTAGTAAATGTACGCGACTAAAACAACAGTACAAATTTGAGCCAAAAGCTGAAATTAGAAATCAGCTGCTACTGGAGTACCGCGTATATACAAAACGTGCTGCTGCCTTTTATGAGATAGCCAAAGAAACTCCAGAAAATAAGTTTCTGCTTTGACCTTCAACAGGTACAGCCTTTACCTCGGACGGCTATTGGCAATAACTTTTACTAGCATCAGATAAGTCTCTACGCTTTTTTTTGTGTCGCGCTGTCTTCGCGTAATCCAACTTTCTACATGTGGACTGAAGATTATGCTGGACGTGGCTCAACAGAAGTTGCTTCAGCGCTTCTTCACCATCTAGATTCTCTCGACTACGACAGAATTAAGAAAATTCGACTATTCTGTGATGGGTGTACAGGTCAAAACAAAAATTCCTACATCGTGCATGCACTTATGTTTTGGCTTAAAACTAAGTCGCCAAGAGATGTCTCCGAAATTTCAATCACTTTTCCACTCCGCGAACATAGTGTTACGTAAAAATTAGTCATATTAAAATAAACCTGTAAACATGTTGTTTATTTACTAAATATGTGGTAGAATGGACGAGATCTTTCAATCAGCCGGCAGACATATACCTGAAATGGCCGTTTGAAGTTTCCAGAGAAACCGGTCGAGTGATGACCCGGCCTAGAATTATCAGAGGGATTCTCCTGAACTCTCGAATAGCTGTATTTTCATATATAATAACCGAGCTTTTATTGAAGAGGACAGTCAAAAAGAAGATCGCGATCTCGCGTTAAAATGTAACGAAAGTATAAATTATTTAAGTGTAAAATAAAGCCGACAGAGAAAGGTTTCTAGATACGGACACGGCACCCAAAGAAGAAGAAGAAAATAAATTAGTAGGAAATAAAGACTTTTGATAAATTATCGTGAGTTTTAATAAATTAGAATAAAGACAATAAATTAGGACTAATAAAATCATTATAATAGTTTTATGGCTGCTGATCGTTGTTTTGGGAGAGTGGAGAAGTTGCTTAGGCAAAATACCGATATAATTTCTAAAGAGGAGTACGTCAAATTTTATTCAGAATGTGGTCAAGTAAAACTCTTAGGAAACGACTGGAAACTTTTTAATATTAAGGAACTAGATAAAGTGTACAATAAGGTAAAGGGCATTGCTGAACCAAAAAGAATTTTTATCACAAGACATTCAAAACCAACAAAAGATTAAAGTAAATACACACATATATTATCGGTTTGCATATGGAAATAAATCGCGTCAGATGATGCTAAAAAAAGGAAAAGACGATGGGAACCTGGTTCTAAATATTATAGAGCCCAGAAATTCGTTACCAGATAAGAAGAAACCCAGTCTAACGAAGCTTCTGAAAGAGCTGTTTGGTGAAAATTGGATGTTGCGAGCAGATCTAAAATGGTATAAGGATTTACTTGTTTCCGCTAATGCAGACACGGAATCTACTGACAAAGAAGTAGATGAGAGCGAGGAATGTGACTGTTTGGATGAAGAACCTGCTCTTCACATATAAATATTTTTTGTTTCTCTTGGTTCATTTTGACTTCTGTGTTCCAATTTTATAATAAAAATGTGTTTTCTGGCGTTTTAATTAGTTCTTTTTGAGAATTTTTAAAATTTTGCAATCAAAACTATCCATATCCAGATTAAAAATCAATTTTTTTCAAAAAACGTTAACTCAAAAAATAAAAATCAAATTGCATCAAACTACTTTCCTAAAACACTATCTATCCAAGTAAATCCTATCCCCAAGTACTAAGGCCAACCGATAAGAAGTTTTTTTCGTTTCGTGTACATTTTTTCCAAATGAATATAGCCCCTTTTGAACGCAAGCTCCTCATATGTGTTCGTACCACTGATTTCGCTTCATCCATTCCACCCATTCCGATATTGTTCTTTTGGCTGTGCTTCTTGCTATGAAAATAACAGGTTTGAGAATGTTTGTTTGCTGCCGCTCCCCTGGCTAGTAGACCCGCTTTTTCATTCCCTTCAATACCAGTATGTCCAGGCACCCAGAGTAAACTTACTTTGTTGTTTTTTCCGATCCGAATCTAATTCTGAAGACAATCGTAAACTAATTTGGAGTAAATCCGATTCGATTGTAGTGCCATTAATGCAGTTTTGCTATCAGATATAATTTTTATAGATCTGTCCCTGCAGTTTCTCGTTATTAGTTCCTGTATGCACATCCTTATAGCATAAATTTCCGATTGGAAGATAGTGGAGTGATTACCTAGGTTTTCACTCAGGCATAGCGTTGGTTTCCCTCCATACATTCCAGCTCCAACTCCATCATCCAACTCTGGGTGATTTTTAATTATCTCTCCAGATTTGATCCTGGTATTCTTTTGCCCTGCTTTATTTCTGGCGTCTTATCCGCCTTTTGTGTGCTCATACCTTCGCCTCCTTCTCCATCCATATATGTAATGGATGGAGATCAAATATGACTCCATGGAGGAGTTGAATCTTGCTTGTTGAAGCTTATTCAGTTTCTCTTTGGTGGTCTTTTGATGGCATTTAGACCACCATATTAGTGCGCCATAGATAATTATTGTTCTGACTACAGTCATATATTGCCACTTAGCTAGTACATGTGTTTGGGCTTCATACCCCGTGTTTTCCCACATATCGCATATCCAAAGTTAAAGCTTTTACTTTGTTGGTTATTCTTACCAAATTCATGTTCCCCTTTTTATGTAAGCAGCTTAACTAGCATTACTCATAGATATTTGACCTCATTCGCCTCTTTGACAGTTTCTCCATGCAGAGCTGACATCTAGATATTATCTAGGTTCTGTCTCCTTTTGAAACTGACTACTACTATTTTACTAGGTGTGGCAGATAGTTTTTCCCTGTCGCAGACACATATTTTCTTCTTAACATAATTACTAGATCATCCTCAAAATCAAGTATCATGTGGTTGCGGATATCTCTTTTGATACTGCTTTGGTAGTGTTTTATCAAATGCGTCTTCTATATCTAGAAAGGCGCTTAACGCAATCTCTTCATTATTAACCGTGACTTGATTCGAAAATTGAGTAACTGATTTTCTGAACTACTTCGTCAGTGCTGTTTCTGTTGATTTTCCTTTTTAATATGCATGTTGGTTGCCATTGAGAAGATAATCTCCCAATGGCCCCTCCTTAATATGTCTTATCAAGATTTTTTTTCTATTGTCTTCAACAGAAATGATGTAAGTCCTACAGTTGTCCAAGTCTGGTATATACCCGAGTGCTATGCTAGCCATAAAGATCTTTGTTAGGATGGGCAATAAGATGTTCAATTACAGAGAATTCTCATTTCTTTCCTATGACGTTTAGGTCGTTCTAGGTTTTCAGCCTGAGTCTGCTCATCAATAATTATTGATCCTGGAAGTGGTTGTATAGTAGGAGCTCTAGTGTTTCCTTTTTATATTCGGCAAAGATGCCATCAGGTGTTTTAAGTAGGCCTGGTCCCCGTGCCTGATTCTTGAAAAGAATCCTTCGGATTCTCATGCCGGCAGGTATATCTTAAATACTTTGCCAGAATCTGGCTTTCCTGTATGTTTACCAGTTCTCCAGTTCTTTGGCTTTATTCGACGGCCTCCTTACTTCCTTTCTTAGTTTTTCAATTTTCTTCTCCACCAAGGCGTTTGTCTATTATTCGTCTTGGTTTTGATTGGGCATTTCTCCTGATATGATATGAGAATTGCTTCTTTTATTCGGTCACTTACGTCTTTAATATTTAAACTTGTTTTGATGTTACTAATTTATTTTATTTCCTATCTTTGCCTCAACATCGGTTCGATATCCATTTTGTGCCAAATTGTGTCCAATTTGTGCATTTCTGATCCCTGTAACTAGTTAAGAGTGGTTTACCTGTATATTAGGTAAAGTAAATGTGTCGATGTCCGAGCTCGATGACTCTTTTCGCACATGCAAGTTAACAATTTTGTTGCTAATTTGCTTAGTACTTATAGTTATATCAATAACGTCCTGAATTTTCTTGTTGATAAAGGTAGGTTGATTACCTACTATTGATTTGCTTTATTGTAAAAGTTCACCTCGTTCATCAGTCCTTTTGCTTCTCCATACCATATGATGTGAGTTGGCATCACAGCCAATGATGACTTGTAGTCCATTCCTTCTACGGTGTACGATTAGTTTTTGAATCACCATAGGAGGGGATTTGTTGCAGCCCTATCACCTGTGAAGTATGCCGAGCATACGACTATATCTCGTCTTCCCGCTTCCTCCTATATATTAATTTGAGCTGCAATCACATCTTCCAGAAACCTGAAAGTAAGATGTGTTTAATATATATTTCCTAAGTACATTAGTTTATTACAGAAGTTAGGAATCAGATTAATATATTAGATTGTGTCCATCCAGCCAATATTTATGTGCTTGGAAAGAGTTTGGAATTTTAGAGACAATATTTTTAGAAATTTACAGAGTTTTCCTATTAATCTAAAAGTTTCAAAGCATCTTTTAAGCCAGTAAAAAAACCAATTTATTAAAAACTATGCTAATGTTGTTAACATGTTTAATTAGTTCTTTAAATTATTTAAAATTTGTGCAGAACTTTTGTGATATTGAAATCCATATCCATAAAAAACTAATGTTTATTTTTTTTCTTTTCTTGCTCACAGATTTTCTTGACAAAGTAAGTGTTTAACACTAATAGTGTTAATTTTTTATTATTTATATGTATATTCAGAGCATTAGCTACATAAAATGTGTTATCATACAGAGAGATTATTCATTATCCATATTGTTTAATTTGATTATGGATGGATTAAACATCATAGAAATGATGAATAAAAAGAGTAAGAATTAGCACCGAAATATATGGTATAGGGCAGAAGATAAAACAGTTAAAATGGGATGTTATATATCTTATAATGATTTGTGGCCACAGCAAGATTTGGCGCCTCTCGTCTTGGTCAGAAACTACCTATTTAGACAATGTATTCCCCAATCAGTGGATGGGATAGAATGGCCACCTAAGCCACTAGATTTACCTCTTGATTTATTTTTATGTAATTACTTAAAAAAAAGTGTACAAAAATAGACGAAAGACTACTAATGAACTCAAACAACTGATACGAATTTTATAAGGTAGCCCAAATAACTTATGGAAGTCATAGGGAAAGTTTTCGCTACTCGTCTTTCCCATTGTATTTTAGTTTTTGAACATATTCTTTAATTTAATTTTGTATATAATATTTACCAGATTAATTAAAATATTTAACATACTTAAAGAGACACTTAAAGGATTTTTTAAATGATATATTTTAATACCCTCATTTCTATTTATCATGCTTACATGGGAGCTGTCAAAAAAATAAAACATAAATCTAAGAAAAGGCCTATTTAGGACTGAAATAAACGGGTTTTAGGATTTTTATTTAAAGCCACTGTTTTCAAAATAATGAATTTATTACTTTCAATTGCACCATATTATATACACTGTAAGCTGAATTCCAGATCAAAATTTGCAGTAGTCAAGGAAAACACAATACCAATGTATAAAGATTTACTATGATAGAAAATGTATTCAAATAAAGAAGCAAAAGGTAGAATTTACAAACCACCAATGAGTGATAGCAAAGTAACATTCCAATACGTATTTGTTCAGAAGGAAAAAAAGGAAGAAAAAACTCTTGGAAATAAAAAAAGTGAAAATCTTGCAGTGAATTGATGGGAATATACTTTAGGGTCTAAATACTAAGTAACAATTTGATGAGTGTAGAATTTCATCTCAGATTTTTAACACATCACCCTGCATACATAACCAGCAAGAACGTTATATTTTGAAAATTCTACTTAAAGATGATCGAAACAAACTCATAACTAATTAAATGTACTTAATTAATTTTGGACTTAACGGACTTTTTCTTTTAGTCGAGAATTACAAATTTGGCATCGTCTGACAGAAACTTCCACATATTTTATCAACTCCTCTCTGGAGCCGACATTCATCTATTAAGTAAGTATTAATCCAATCTTAACATTATTGTTTTAGCAATCAGTAAATGGTGTAATTTCTGTCATGGACACTTAATAACTAGAGAAAAATTGACCAAAAGCTATTTTTAGGAGCCTCGTAATTAGTTAACCGGTTAAAACACTCATATAATTAGATAATAGTTATAATACTTCTTCTTAGTTCAGACAAGACACGTTAATCTTTGGCTCTTGGTCTTAACTTTATGGTCATAAAATAGGTTCAATGTATTCTTTCCATCTACGTAATTTGTCTTGCGTTTTAGTTATAGTGGTACCATCTGCATTTGTTAATATCCCTATTGGTTTGTTACGATTTCCTGAAATCATTTGTTTAACCTTCTTATGGGTGTTGAAAGTGTTATACCTTGCCATTTAATGGACATCCATGTTTCCATAGCTTGTTTTATTTTCTGTTTTATTTGTTTATTAATTTTTTGATATGAAAAACAGTGGGACATTAAACATTTTTTATCGAAAATATACAGTAGCCATATGGCCATTGATATATCCCAAATCTTAATGATGTCACCTTTTAAAGTGGCCACCTTTCTTATTGGCCAAAATTGCTTGTTATTTTTTATTGAGCACTAATGAGAAGTTTTACTGTAAAGTACATGTGTACATATTAAAAGTAACTTAATCTTATATTATGTAGACTCAAGACACCAATCGAATATAATAAACGTCCGTACCAGAAGAGGGGCAAATGCGGATTCTGATCACTACCTGGTCGAAAGTAGGATAAGGGCTAGAATTTCAAACATCAAAAAGGAAAGAGGCTCTAAACATGAACGATACAATATAGAAGGACTCAAAGAAACAAACAAAAATAGAGAGTACAAAGAAAATATAAGCATCAAACTAGAAAACAGACCAAAACATGAAAACCTAAATGAGGAGTGGGAAGAGTGCAGAGAAATCATAAAAGAAACAGCTAAAGAGGTGTTGGGCATGGAAGGTAAAGAAAGAAGAACAAGAACGAATCACTGGTTTGACGAAGAATGTCAAACTATAACAGAAAGAAAAAACAGAGCATATTTACAGATGCAACAGAGGCACAGAACCCAACAAGCAGAGGAAGAATATAAACAACTACGTAAAGAAGAAAAGAAAATTCACCGAAGAAAGAAGAGAGAATATATCAACAAAGAACTTCAAGAACTACAAGAACTAAGTAAACCAACAGAGACAAGAAAATTTTACCAGAAACTCAACAAAAGCAGAAAAGAGTTCAAACCGAGAACAACGATGTGTAAAGATAAGGAGGGTAATATATTAACAGAACAGCAAGAGATACTTAGAAGATGGACAGAACATTTTAAGGAAAAGCTTGGGGTGAATAGGACGGAGATGAACCCTGATATACCATTAGACCAAGCAGACAACAGAGAAAAGAGTCCACCAACAATAGCAGAGATTAGAACAGCAGTGGACAAATTAAAGAACAATAAATCACCGGGATCGGATCAAATATCATCGGAGCTACTGAAAGAAGGAGGAGACGCATTACTTAAAGCCATACATGAGCTGATAAGAAAGATATGGTTGAATAAACAGCTACCAAAGGAGTGGAATAGCGGCATTATTGTACCACTACATAAAAAAGGAAACCAGTTAGAATGTAAAAACTACCGTGGAATCACGCTGTTGAATGCGGCATACAAAATAATGTCCAACGTAATGTATGAAAGACTTAGACCATACGCTGAAAAAATAGTTGGCAAATACCAATGTGGCTTCTGTAGACAGAAGTCAACAATAGACCAGATATTTGTTCTGCGACAGATCCTTGAAAAAACAAGTGAATATAACATCGACACACATCATCTCTTCATAGACTTCGAAAGCGCATATGACAATATAAACCGAGAATTCCTAACAAAAGCAATGAAAGAATTTAATATACCAACACAGCTAATAGAATTGATAAAAGAAACACTAAAAGTAGAAAGTAAAATCCGGATACAAAACGAATTAACGGAAACAATAGATGTGAAGAAGGGACTACGCCAGGGAGACGCTCTATCATGCATATTATTCAACATCATACTTGAAAAAATAATAAGAGACACAACAGTTAATACCCGAGGAACAATAATTAATAAAAGCGTGCAAGTACTAGCATTTGCAGATGATGTTGACATAATCGCAAGATCAAGAAGAGAAATGATAGAGGCATTTACTCAAATAGAACGAGCTGCAAAAAATAGTGGTCTTAAAATCAATCAGACAAAAACAAAATATATGCCTGCAAATAAAAACGCACAAATAAGGCAGCTGCCAAATTTAACAATAGGATAATACAACATTGAGGCGGTAAAAAACTTTACATACTTAGGATACCTAGTTACGTCTGATAACAACGTTGCAGAGGAAGTGAAGAGGAGAATATTTATTGCCAATAAATGTTCATCACCAAAGTTATTAACATCTTAGTAGATGTGTTGTGGTTCATAATTGGGCTTCAGCAGCTCGGACAGTTTGATTGATAATATTTCTCCACTGGTCGCGGTCATCAGTTATATGTATTGCCTCAGTATACTGTTTATTGGGAAGCTTTTTAGTAATGTCCGCCCATCGCTGTGGAGATCTTCCGCGTTGGCGTTGAGTCTGAGGCCTTCCTTGGACCACCAACCGCTCCATATTGTGATCACTTCGATGGATATGGCCAAAGAACTTTAAAATTCTAGAGTAAACGGTACTGGAGAGACGCTGATCCGGTTTAATTTCATCCAGAACCGAGATATTTGTACGGCGAGCCGTCCATGGAATTCGAAGCAGGCGTCTCCATGTCCACATTTCAAAGGCGTCTATGCGTCGTCGATCTGATTCTTTGACTGTCCATGTCTCGCATGCATAGTAAAATATGGAAAAGACCAGAGTTGAAACGAGTCTCTTTTTGTTTTTCATAGTAATGTGACGATCACGCCAGACCCCGTTTAGTTCACTCATTGCTGCTCTTGCTAGTTGAATGCGTCTTCTAATTTCGGATTCACAACTGCCTGTGTTGTTAACCACAGGCAGTGCACAACAATAAATGTTACCATGGCTTAATTAGGCAACTAAGATCAGAAAACGTCTCCAGAAAAACAAAATGCCAAATATACAAAACCTTAATAAGACCGGTACTCACATACGGTTCAGAAACCTGGACACTCTCTAAAAGGGAGGAAACGTTATTAGCCACCTTTGAAAGAAAAATCTTGCGACACATATATAAGGGCACAAAAGAAAACGGGATTTGGCGGAGAAGGTATAACTTTGAACTATACAACATATACCAGGATCCGGATATCATAACATTCATTAAAATAGGAAGGCTACGTTGGATTGGACATGTGGAAAGAATGGAAGAAGGCGAAATACCAAACAAAATATGCAAACAATTGCCAGTAGGAAAAAGAACAAGAGGAAGACCGAAGCTGAGATACGTAGAACAAATAGAAAATGATATAACAACATTAAAAATTAAAAACTGGAAAAAAAAGCACGAAACAGGTCAGAATGGAGAAGAATCCTTGAACAGGCCAAGACCCAAAAAGGGTTGTCGAGCCAGTGATGATGATGATAATCTTATATTAAGGATCCGATATATTTTTATTGAAAGCGTCTGTCCGTCTGTCTGTTTAGGCGGTAACTCTTTAATGAGAGTTTTAGTCTTTAAACTTGGTACAAATAATCCTCTTCGACAAAGAAAGAACTTGAATTTGGGGTAAATAGGTCAAAAGCCACCAAAGTTACAAACCGTTTCAAATAAAGAGTCTTGAAACTTGGTATATAGTTTCTATAGGACATAAATACATGGTTGGTCAAATTTGGAACAAAAAGATATAACATGTATAATAAAAATACACGTCCCATATCTTCAAATTGCATCAGACTCATAAGCGTGTAAACTTGCAAAATACTAGCTATATATCAACTTGTTAGAGCTTAATTCAGTATCGGGTTTATCGACACTCAGTTGTACTGCTTTATTAATGAACTAATTTTTCTCTTTTTGCCATTTTCAGAATCGCTCAAGTTACAACGCAACGTCGAGCTGTATACCATTTTACTAACCGAATCCAATCAACCAACCTTGTCAGATGATGACGATAAAAACTTGTTCATATATACAAAGAGCGCTTTGGAAGTGCTCGGATTTACAGATAGCGAAATAGTAGATATTTTTCGCGTTATAGCGATTATTTTGAAATTAGGTAATTTGCAGTATGTGCCTTGTAGTAACATTGATGGTACTGAGGGATGTTCGATTAACAATGATTATGGTGAGTGTATAAGTACAATTTACATATTTTTAACAACGCTTCATATATTGATTAGTTCGTGGGACATTTAAAGTGTTAGCAGTGCAAGTAGAAATACAAATCTTATATCGTGCAAATTTTATAAAGTATACTCTAAGACAATTGTTCATTTTCCTCCTCAATATCGTTTTTTTTTAATAATTGAATAATCTGTTTAACGAATTGCAAAATGAAGTCAAAGGAAAATATTATAAAAGTCAATTTAATCGAAAAATTTAGTAGATAAATGATTACTTACGTTCCCTTTCCGAAACATATCCTATTAATCATAAAATTATATTTTATTACACCAGAAGTGTCCAACTTGCTTTGCCCGATTGTTGCCAGCAAAGAGATTCTCGTAAACACTCAATGTTAAAATATGTACAGACTATTAGATGATATGGAGCCAACAACGGTTATTCACAGCTTAGTCGCACTAGGCTATGTTACTCCCTTTTTCTTCTTCGAATACCTTCTCTAATCCAAGATCAGCAACAAATTTTTTCTACCTCTACCTCAGCAAATCGTTTAAGCCCAAGCCTATCCAATCTCATATGTTCTTACGTCAGGAGCATTGCTTATGTCCTGGTCTGCGTCTACCTTTGATCTTACTTTGTATTAAGAGTTGAAGG